GGGGCTCATTTGTTGCTTCCCGGTCAGTCTGAGCTAGACTGGTGGAGAGTAAGTTTCTCATTTCACTATCTCTACAAAATCAATATCATTTCTGATTTTATGTAACTACATATAGGAGCACGAGAGAGATTTCCCGGTCCTTGCAACACTTGCTCGTGATTATCTTGGCATATCGGGCACCTCTTGCCCTTGCGAGAGAACTTTCTCTTCTGCGGCTGATATTGCAGTCCCTTCTCGTGCGTCTTTAACAGCAAAGGCGATCCAGATGCTGGTCAGTGCACGCAAGTGGTTGAAATCCAACATTACACTATCAGGTCTATTTGCTGATGCTGCAGCATATCTTAAAGCTTACGAAACTACTAGCAAAAAGACTAGTAAAAAATGATTTCACTATTGTCTCATCTTATTTCTTTTTATATGTTTCAATCAATACAAGAAGATCTCAATTTTACCTTTAAAGATTCAAAAAACCTTCAAAAACACCTGTGTGCGCTTTTTTTTTCCTTTTGATATGTTTCAATCGATACAGGAAGATCTTAAAAAACCACCAACAATCTCAAAATGAGTTGTGCGCGCTCTTCTTTTCATCCCCACTCTATAGCTTACCATGATACACATAAGTAATACATATGGCTTGAACAAAAAAAAGGCTTTGCCTCACTCCGAGGCGCTTCTGATTGTGAGATTGAGCGTTAGTGGAGCGAAGCAATTTTTTCGCTCTGAGAACCCCATAGCGCTCCAATAAAACACTCTGAGGCGCTACCCGCGGTGAGATTGAGCGATAGTGATGCGGAGCGATTTTTAAACCCGCAGCGCTCTGAAAACTCCCTAGCGCTTCCAAGAGTATAGCGTAGCGAATGACTTTCTTTCACAGCGCTCCATCACTACGCTCGTGAAAATTGGGGTTTTAGCGGTGTGGCGTGGGTGTTGCCTCAAACCACGCAACACGGCTGACGGCCAATACCTAAAATGCTCATTGGTTTCAGAACTGCTCAAATTGTGATTAATCAACAAAGCCTGGGTGATTGCGGTAGTACCCTTTGTGCTTTGGTGCCTACAGTTAACCTTGCCAATCATGATCACCGGGTTTGCCAAAACGTGGAACAATTCATATGTAATCTCTACCATGTCTCAGATGACGTGTGTCTCCTTTGAGGGTTTATCTTATGCCAATCTAGAGCGCACAATGAACCGATTCCAGAAAATGCCTAACTCCGTCCACTCAAAACTTAGCTTTGGTCCAATCCATCATGATTACTCTTCAAACCGGATGATGGACGTGGAACAAGTCATCAAGTTGTGCCGTAACAGTTTGACAGGTTTGAGATTCAAGTTCGATGTGTCAGTAGGATTTGCACCAAGCTTGATAAATGTGATCAAACATGTCGAAGACCTTCAGTGTTTAGTGATCATAGGTAGCTCATGTGAAGGTCATATAAACAATGCAGATTCTCTAGAGGATTTGTTCATGGCGACCAACAATCTGCGCTCATTAACCCTCGAAGTCAAGTCATTACAGCGCTTGGACCTTAAATCAGGATCGCTAGCTCATCTGGACCATTTATCAGTTGCATGTAATCCTCATAACTTAGATGCCATCACGGACCTTTTCAAGGACCACTCACAAAATATCAAGTGTCTAGAATATACACCACATATCGATTATGATCACCCGGCGGACTTAGTCTTATCACTTCAGAAGTCACTTCAGATTCTGTTCGCGGAAGCGATTCCTGAATTATTGCCTGTGAGCGTTAATGATACGGTGCTTCCGCAACTTTGAGTGGTTCAAACTATTAACTCGGCCAGTGTGCAAGGAGACCTTGCGTGGCTAGAATCAAGGTTTTTTTGAAACATGGAAGTTTTAATCACGGGGTATTATCATTCAGGCAATTATTGGTGGTTGATGTTAAGTGACCACAACCAAGCCTACCTCAAAACACCTAAGAAGTTCAAGAATATCATCTTTGTACCGTGTAACGCGGTTCCAGTGCACAATCCGAAGCTTGCCAAGATGTTCAAGGTGTATGGCTTAGACTGTCATTTCAGACGTCAATTATCTTACAAAGATCTGATGGTGAGTGATTATTTTTGTAGCAATGGTGTCAAATGTCTGAGCCCTGCGATGTGCCGCTCACAGGGTATAGCGGACACCATTGCAAATCATGGGCCCCTTGGTTCTATGGAATGATATCATGTGCATCGACATAGTGGCTTAACCAATGAGCGCAGATCACTTAAAAGCTGTGATGATTGAGTAATTCCTGTAAATTGTAACTGAAATCACACCGAGTTTGTGATTGGATGTCAGAACCTCTTTCGGGATAGGTTACGGTTCTAGATAATACATAACGGTAGCGGGTGTGTTGGTTAATCAAAGGGATGAGTGTCATGCCCCTATCTCAAAAGATTTCGCCGCTAATGTTTTCCATCAAGATCATTGTGGGGATATGAGAAACATGTTGAGTAGCACAGTATTGTGTGACACTTCACGATGTAGTGAGTTACAAGATTGGTAAATGGGTCAATCATATCAAAGTATGCATGAGTTCAATTGGAAGATAGCAATGAAGAGACTGAGAAGTACACTCTTTGTGACAATAACACAAGGGTAATTATGGGTGAGCAGATCAATTTTGCCTATTCGATGGCATGAGTCAGACACTCAAAGGTCGGTTATAGATGCTGCACGTTTGAGAGGTATGATCTAATACTAAGATGTATATCATCGTGACAAATATTTGATTAGGATGGGAATCCAGAGGATTGAAGTGTGAGGTACATACCTGTCACCGTGCCTTTATTTATGCTTCTGATGATTACTTCATCGGGTCCAGGAGATGTCAATGATAAAATTCTCTCAGCCACAGGAGATAATTTCAAGAGTGAGAATACAACATGCACCCTGTTTTCCATGGTTAATACTTAGTGTTTGTAAAGCTTCAGCTTAATGTTTGGTTTTGTTGCTCAATGTAAGTTAAAAGACTTTGCGGTGACAGAAATTAGAACTGTGACCAAAGTTACGATTGGCCTGAGCGTTGATAAGTAACATGATGTCAGATACTAATTCAGAGTTGATTGGAACCTTTAACCGCAGCGCCCGCCACTGATTTGCTAGTAGCATATAATCCGTAAACAATACTTGTAGCAAAAGTCTGAGAGATATCATCATATGCTCTGAATCAGCTTTATTGCTTGTTGTATGGACTCCAGCACTTTGATTAATCTCCCTTCAGTCTCACAAAAATTACTAATTGCATTTTTGTTCCTGGTGTGACAGCCACCCCAAATGTGTTGCAACTTTGGCAGAGCGTTGACTTTCAAATCCAAGGACTTCAAAGGCCCCAAATTCATTGAGACAGACCATTTGCAATTTTTTGAGGGTGAAGTTGAGGCGGATTTTGAGATTGTTTGCAACGATATTGAGGGAATTCCATGTGCCAGTGCAATGGTAGACCACATGTCGATATTGGTCTAGGTAATTACCATTCAGTAATTCCAGCATGAAGTCCCAGTCTTCATCTGACAGCTTGGTGTGCCTCCCAAGTTGATTGTTTTTGGCAGGGTTCTAGACAACAGACACCGTTTGTTGATGAAGCACATGTCATTTCAAGATGGTGCGTGGACTAACAGTTGACTTTAATAGTGATCCAACCTTTTTGAATGTCTTCCCTTCACGCTGGACAGCTAAAACCTCTGTGCTGACATTGTATTTTCCGGGCCACACAGGTTGAACCCTCATTTCTGGAACTATGCCAAGGTGGTCAGCTACCCTGCCAACATATTTACCTTGTATTTTTCAATCTGAGGTATCCTTGGATGCCAATCCTTGGACAGAAGCTTCCCAAGGTTTTGATCCAGGGTAATTCTCAGCGCAAAAGGATACCTTGGATAGAAACCCTGGACAAGGTCTGTCCAAGGATTTGCCTCCATTAATGCCTTGGATTTCTCAACCCAAGGCATCTATGTTGGCAGTGCTATGGTGGAGCTGAGAAGAGACAAGCAGGAGAATCTTACCTTAGTCAAATGCTCCAAGGTTTTGCAAGTTAGAAAGGTGATTAGGTACATGGCTAGACAAATTGGCTGAGAACCAACAAGGAGGACTACTGGACCAGAATCAAATGACCAGGATTGGAAGCTCCAGAGATTTGGGAGCAAGCAAGAGACAGTGAAGGTGTGGCTGGGGAAATCATGGGTGATGTCCAGACCTTGGGGGACCAATACATAGGGTTGCCCCCAAGGCTGTCTAACGTAATGCAAACTCCAGGGTAGTTACAGGTCCTATATAATTGGCTGTATAAGTTAATGGTGTGGCAACCAAAGTCCAATGAAATTTTGCGCACATGACGCAAATTTCACGTACAGATGTATTTCCTGAGTAAAGTTCTGATTGAACTTCTATAAAAGGTTTGAGTCCTTTCCATTTTGCTCTCAAGTGTTTCCTGAGCAAAGACCTGATTGAACTTCTATAAAAGTTATCAGGTCATACCTCAGTCAAAACCACGCTGTGGAGCAGGGTCACCCTGGTGAGGTATTGTCAGACTTAGCCTGCGGCGCAACCCCAGCTCCACTACCGCACTGCCCCACTTCACAGCGGCGGGGTTTTTGTGTTGCTACAACAGTTGAAGTGCCTCATGCAGGTTTTTACAGGTAGACATTTAGGATAAGAACAACCAGAGCAATTCAAAGCACACAAATTGAATGTCAAGGTCAACAGATTTTTGAGCATCGATTGGGTTTTGTTAATTCGAGAGCTCTAGTGAAACGATAGGAGGAAATAGGAACAAAGGTACTTTTACTGTTTTATTCATTGGAATATTGATAGCTGGCTTAACAGAAGTCTTCCTGAGATCAAGTTTTAACATTCAAAACATTCATAGATCATTTGAGTTGCAAGCGGCCTTGGGTTCATGTCAGTTGCCCGAGTCAGGAACGCTGGCATTCCGACAGGCCATCCTCATGAATAATTCATCCCCAGTGCCGTGTGGGAGGTAACTTCACTACAGAAAATATTGTGATGTTCCTGCTTTGTCCGTGGGTACACGAGTCTGGTTGGGCACTGTAAACGGTGGAAGCATAGTAGCAGCTATTCAGTGAGACGTAAGCCAGGGAGGAGTCGCCTCAGCAGTCAAGCATTGGCAAAAAAACAACGGAGTCTCACCCGCCGTGAAAAGTTTAAAACTTGTTTGCTTGTTGACAGCTCCGCCTGCATCCACGCACATAACACTAGCCACGTTACCACAACGATAGCAATAATTCGGTGCGGACCAGACCGTGACTAGGTTGTCCTCGGGTGCAAACATGTACTTGTACCCTTCCTGCACCAGTTGATGGGCTCGAGCGATTAAGCCAATAGCGTTGGCATGGTTGAACTGAATATATCAGACGTGACCAGTACCGCAGAGTTTAGGAATGCCCAAGAGGCCGAACTCACTTCCTGAGCAATCTTCGCACCAAACAGCCAACCTGCGCCTCGGGGGGAAACCGACCAGTTACCACCCACGATGTCATCTGGGTCAGACCACATCAGGTCTGGACCAGCTTACAATCATCAGCCCATTCAAGACTGCCCCAAGAAAAAGTATCACTGTATTTACCACAAAAAGCACCCGCGTGCGGTATTTCTTGCGCCCGGCTTAGTACTCTGATCTGATCGAGTGTACGAATCTCGGGGGAAAGGCCGCCGTGCACACATAATATCGTGGAGTCGATTATCTTTTTCCCAGATTTTGCGTGAGAAGATATCCTCATGCACATGCAAAGGAGAGCGACGGACCGCGGCCAAATTCAGGCAGTCAAATACATTACAGCAGGCCTTCCAAACGTTAGCGTTACCATACTTCCGGTGGCATTCATCTAAATTCCATTTCGCAGCAGCGAAATATCACGGGGTAACAGCAGTGTGAAAAGATGTGCATCATCAATGAGCTTCAGTAGTAGTCGGTCGTCACGTCATGGAAGGGCGAGCTAAATTGACGAATAGTCGTGTCAAATACCATAGAAGCCATACACCTGTGTTATTGAGCGGGATTCGTGGTTGCCACGAAGCAAGGTGATTCTGTCCGGATACCTATGTATATCAAGTTCACTAGGGATCTCAAAAAGGCTACCTCAAAAGAATTGCAGCAACTACCTTGCTTTATATGTCAATAACAACGAAAAAGTCTCCAAAGAGAAATGGCCGCGATCGACAAAATCCCCCTTCGGTGGCAGGTCATCGAGGTCAGCGATATGTACCGAGCGTATTGCTGACGTGGAAGTTTAGCTAGGAAGGCCTACCATCAAAACATAATTAGTTTCGCCCGGCTGTCCTCCGACCCGAAACATCTCAATCATGTCCCATAACTGGCCGTGGATATCACCGCAGACCGTCACGGGAGAGGCGACCGGCTGGACGTTGGACTCTTCCATCAGAATAGATCGCACAATGTCGCACAAACATTTGATATCATGCTCAGGTAGATGTTGACATTTTCTTAGCTTGTCGATAGCATCATCTGGAACCAAAGCCGACCGGGAAAGTAAGCGAAGGATTGACGAGCAAATATACGTCTGGGAGACTCGGAGCCAAAGTGGCTAGATCACCTAAATCTATCATTTCGGCCCCTGGATGTCGGAAGAAGGAAGTTGACTGATGAGTGGGAAGATGACGGTTCGGTGTCTCAATCAGAGAATTCGAAGGGGGAATAATTGCGAGCGTACATATGGAATCCGAGTGCATGTGAGCAGTCCGACGCAGCCCGCCGCAGGTACATACTCGAAAACCGAGTATCTGTATGGGGCAATACAGAGTGTGTGTTTCGGGTTTTGAGGTTTCTCCTCCACCCTTAAGGCTCTGACCCGGTAGGCCCGAAGCCTTTTAGAGCTGGCCGAAGCCGCCACGACGAGAGCGCACGCGCCTCGCCCAAACCCGATATTTCAATTAAAAAACGGGGTAGATCTAGTGGTGTGACATGTAAAATCTTCTTCGAATTGCAAATCAAAATTTTTCTTACTCTCATTAAACACCATGGCATCCACCCCACGACATCGCCCAAGATCATCAATTGTCCCATCACCCAAATCAGCTTTATCATCTGCCGCTCTGACATCACCACTTGCTCCAGCCAGGCGTCTCTTGACTTCTGATTCAGGTTCAGAAGCTTCAAATCCGGACTCCGAGAAGGCCAATGGCAAGCGCTCATGGGTGTGGTCCCACTTCAAGACCATGGATGTTCAAGGCTCTAAAAAGCATGTTTGTCAAGCAATACTCCCTTACGCTGATGGAAGGATCTGTGGTACTCTCATGACACCTGACAAAACCGGGTCCACCAAAGCACTTAGTCGCCACCTCCAAAAAAAACATAACATAACTTCAGATGCCCCCCCTCCTGACTCAGGGATCATGAGAAATTTCATTCAAAGGGGAGCGCTGGAATATGTACGTGTTCTTATATTTTATGCCACCGGTCTTGTTATGCATATAAACTGACAGGTCTGTCTTCACAACTGTTCTCCAGCGTGGCCCGGTCAATCAACAATCAGTGAAAGCAGCTCTTATATGCCTTGTTGTTGAGGAAGAGCTTCCTTTTACTGCAGTTGATGCCCCAGCTTTCCGGAACTTTGTAGAGTTGTGCAATCCAGCAGTCATTCCATATATGATTAAATCCACCGCACTGGCAGAAAATCTCATGGACCATTTTCGGAATACTCGCAAAGATATGATCGAGATTTTGTCTACAGAACCATCTATCAGCTTGACTGGCGACACCTGGACTTCTACCAACGGCCAGTCGATATTTGGGGTTACTGCTCACTGGATCGATAAAAAATTCAAAACACATGAGGCCATCATTGCGATGAAACAAATAATTGGCTCTCATAGTGGAGTCAACTTAGCAGAGCACCTTCACGATATCCTTGAATCTTACAACATAACCGATCACTTTTTCTGTATCACTGCCGACAACGCATCCAACAATGGCACCATGGCTGTCCAACTCGAATCTAAAGTCCCCCAATTTCAAGCTAAAACAAACCTTATTGGCTGCTTAGCACATGTTATCAACCTGGTGGCACAAGCAGGCATGGCGGTCTTTTCAAAGCATCTATCAACAATTGCTACCCCCCTCCCCAACACCCTTTCTCATCTTGTTGATACACCCGAAGTTGAAGATCCACGAGGAGCATTGTCAAAGATTGATAAACTGACCAAGCTGGTCAGAAATTCACCTGAACGGCTTCGTGATTGGAAGAGCTTGGCTTCAACCACACCTGGTATTATGAAACCTCTTGGACTGATCATTGATGTTTCCACTCGATGGAACTCAAGATACTATCAACTCGAACGATTTGTTCATCTCAAGACTGTGGTCAAGTTCAAGTGTGAAACCGATCCGGACTTGAGAAAATACCTACTCACCAAAACCGAATGGCAAGTAATCGAGCACATGGTAGTCTTTTTGAAACCTTTCGAGCGCGCTACCAAAATCATCAGTGCGTCTTCATATCCAACCTTTGCCGATGCCATGCCAACATTTGAGTGGCTCATCGAAAAGCTACACAAGGTCAGTGTTATTTACAGTTGATAATCTTTCATCTACTTAGCTTACTGATAGTATCACACTCTTAGGCCAAATCCGATTATTCAAATCAGGCCATCATTCCTATGCTCGAACCGATGCTCAAAAAGCTTACCGATTACCAAAAAGCAGCTGGTCTTAAACCAGTATACATGTGTGCTGCCATTCTGGACCCGCGCCGCAAATTGGACGCTTTCTCCGAGGAGACTCAGATGTTTCTCAGCCTTGACAAGCACGAAATTACTGATATGTTCATCCAGCAGGCTACCAAGTACAAAACTCCAATCGATACCGATGTTACAGTTGTTGAACCCCCCTCCTCAGACGATGATGACGGTCCTAACCATTTCATCAAGAATCGACCACTTGCCACCGCTGCTGCCGAGGTACGCGCGTATCTTGCCGCTGCGCGTGAACTTGAACGTCGCAAGCCGTTGGGGTTCTGGAGTGAAAACGAATCGAACTTCCCCATTCTAGCTCGAATGGCAAGGGCTTACCTAGCTGTCCCTGCCACTAGTTGTCCGACCGAGCGAGGTTTCTCAGCTGGAGGGAGGGTAATGAGTGATCACCGTGCATCCATGCATTCACAAACACTGGAGGCACTTGTGTGTTTGAAAAGTTGGGGACCAGTTTTGAAGGCTTTCTATGAGAGTTTACGCAAGCGTACCAAGTGAGAATGTTTTTTATTGAATGCAAAGATATAAGGCATCAAATTCAATTTTGAACGACCAAAACAATGTTAAAATTCTGAATTCAATTTATACATACAATCAATTGAGACTACTTTTTTTAATTCTTCTGTTTTTTTTGAAATGAAAGTGAACAAATGAATCTCTAAACTTGAAACTTATATCAATATTTCTTCCATACCAAGCACTGGATACCCTATCGGGTACCCAGATTTTCTCTCCTGGAGCCGAAGCCGACCCTAACCGGGTTCGGCTAGGGTCGGCTAGGGTAGCCCCGGGTCCGGGTCAGAGCCTTATATGTTTGGGATTTCTTGGCCAGGCGAACGTCCTTCAAGCCCATACGGAGCAAGTTCACTACTTATCCTTCGCGAGCTGATAGTGGATCACCAAAAAGATATTGAACAAATGAATCACAGAGCTATTCAAATTGCAAGACAACTTTTATCTGAACCTACAACACTTGGTACAAAAGCTGCATCATTTATCTTTTAAGTTTTAGGAAAACGGCGTTCGCTGACAAAACCTCAATAACTCCCGATGCCTATTCCAATTTCCCAGTTTACGCGTCCTATACATTTAATCCCAATTTAAAAGTTTGCTAGACTCATTTTGGGTGATGTAGTATGACCTACTGTTACAGTTTATGCTAATGAGTTTTCTCATTGAAGTGGAAGGGATTTGATTCACAAGAGTAAGAGGAAAAGAAATTTCATCCGTCAGCACTCCATTTTACTTAAAAGACTAACCTTTGTTGCCTTTACATAGTCAACCCGACCGAGCCAATTGAGGACAAGATGAATCAGCAGGGACAACCAAGTCATCATCACGATCAGTAGACCGAGCTCATCTTATTAAATTTGACCAAAACATTACCAGGTAAACTCAAATCAAGAAGATCAATTGAAGGATTCTTAATCATCTAAACCTGAATGTTTTTATTTCATAAACTCTTTGGTTTATTATCAAATCACCACTCTATGATTAAGTCAACTATAAGTTTGTTGGAAACTTCACCATCTGATCATATCCTACCATCACATTCAATTCAAACTGAATCAAACTTGGAATCACCCAACAGGAATGAACAAATCGCTTCAGAAGGTAACAGACAACGAGTATTATTAGTAGATGGCCTTGATGGATCAACGAATAGTTTGAAACCTTTTGAAACAATAAATTCGAATGAAATGATTAGAAAAGCTATTGGAATTTCTAAAAACTTTTCCACTTTCAAATGTGATCGCACTCTACTCTATTTCTCTTGATAATCTCATTCTAGAAATCATAAAACTAATTTGTTTGTTTCTTTTTGTTTTTAGGTACAGCTGATCATCATGAAAAGTTTCATGGTCAAAATTATTGAGGTGAAGGTCAACGTTGTTGTCCTGATCATTATGGCAACTTCTTCAATCCATTCAAGTTTAGGACACAAGAATTCAAAACAAATTTCAGAAAATCAAATCAAACCCAAAGTTTCAATCTTGATCAAATCATTCAAGACAAACTTCCTGTTTTACTTAAAGCAATCGGATCCGGTCCGATTGGTGATAAAAGAAGAGTTTGAAATCCTAAACTTTATCCTCAAGATCCCATCTCAACTTTGATCTTAGTCTCCAATACGTAATCTCGATTTTGAATCATTTGTGTAAGGTTTTTCATTTCTTGTCTTTTCTTTGTCTGTTCTCATTTAATTTCTTTATTTCATACTGACATTATCTTCTTCTTGTTTTGGTTCCTTTGTTTGTGTACGTTTTAGATTCAATTTTACCTGCCCGATCAATTTCAATTTCGATTTTGGCTGTCTATGTAAGTAAGTTTCACTTTGATTTATTTATCATCTCTTAGCTTTACTCTTTTAACTTTTGATTTTGGATCTTGATGTAAGTAAGCTTTTATTCCTTTTTTGTTTGTTCTTGTTTACTAATCTCATCTTCTTTGTCTTGAATTTGGTTCCTTTCCTTTTGATTTCGCTTCTAGGTACTGTTCACTCAATCGAATACAAACAACTTCAGTTGGACCCTTTTCATCTCAATCAAGCTCAATTCAATTTTCTATTATGAGTATAGATTCAATTAATTCATCGCCTCATCTTCGCTTCAATCATCTCCACTTCGATCCCACTGAACCAGAATCAAGAACTTCTGGGTCTTATCTATCTGAATTTTGCTTTCTAGATGTGTTCCCATAGATTGCTCAATGTAATTGCGATTTTGATCATTATGTTGATCCAGATCCTTGCAAGTAAGTGTTACATCTTCTGAGTTCCCTGGATATGAATTTTGACCGTAACTGACAGTACTCTCTTTGGCTTGTTTGATTATTAGACCCCCAAAATTGAATCTCTAATTCACTATGATTTTCGATTTTGGCACTTAGTTTAGGTATGTATTCAATTTGACTTGTTCTCTTATTTGATCCCTTCTTGTAGAATGTTTTCTTTTGTGTTTAATATGTATATTTCCAAATGCATCCTTGAAGTGGTAACAAGATATTGTAATGAAATAAAATGAATATAATAATAATCTGATGTGAGGTGTTGAGAATTTCTGCTTGTATGTTTATATATGCTCTATATATTTTTTAGCATAATGCAGTGGGTAGAGAGTAGCTTTGCAAATTGAGTGAAATATATAAAGGATCCCAGTATATCCACCCCCCTATTTTGGTCCACGCACCCCCTTAAAAGCTTAAGTGGTTTTGGTCAAGCCTTAAGCCACACAACTCAATCTGTCCTGCCCCAGTGTACCGTACCAGGTCCACATAAATCTTCACACACTTCTTAGTCCCTTCAGCTTTTCTCACCACCAACACAGTCTCTCAATGGATTTCAGTGGTCTACTCGAAGCCAAACTCTTTAGAGGAAGCTAAAAGTGCAATACAGATGTGTGCTAAGAATGCTGGATACTCTCTCAAGAAGGCTGGTTCAAAGACGGATTCTCAAAAACGTGTTCGAAAAATTCGCTTGGTCTGCGCTCATAGTGGTAAACAAAAACAGTTGGACACCAGAGTTCGCATGACATCAAGTCGTCTCCTAGGTTGTGAGTGGTATGCTCAGCTGTTACGCATTGAAGGTCTTCAGTGGACGATCAAAATGATGAACAATACACATAACCACGAACGCTCAACAACACTCTCTGAAATACCCGCTGAACGAAGGCTGACGGAGACGCAACACGAGAACATCCTAGCAATGGATCGTGGTGGGGCACCTCCACGAGTAATATTGAGTACACTGAAGGCTTCCGACCCTAGCAACCTCAGCACCGCACAGGACATCTATAACATAAAGAAAAGAAAGCGTAGTGAAATATTGCAAGGACGTTCATCACTCGAAGTCCTGCTAGATACCCTTCAAACAACAAATGTCTTCCACCAATACATACAAAATGATGACGGCCAATTGCTGCGATTATTCTATGCACCAAATGTATGTGTATCGGCGGCCAAAGAATTTGGCACAACTGACATTCTATTGATGGATTCAACTTACAATACAAACCAGTAATGTTAATTTCTCCAAGCCGTCTAACAAAGAAATTCCACTTACTCTTAAACTCCTTTCTTGATTTAGAGCCAAGTTTCCGCTCCTACACATCATGGGTGCCTCTTCAACCCACCAGTCTTTGTCTTTAGGCTTCTGTTTCATGCAAAGTGAAAGTAAAGAAAATTATGTATGGGATTTGAATCAGTTGAGGGATTGCTACGGACCACAAATTCTAACATCCAAAGCTGTAGTCACCGATCGAGAGCTAGCACTCATGAATGCAATCAACGAAGTCTTTCCCGATTCAAAAAACTTGTTTTGCAAGTGGCACATCGAGAACAACATCTTATCAAATATCAAGACCTACTTCTCAACCCCGGACTGGGAAAAGTTTGAGGTTCAGTGGAACGAGTTATGCAATTCAATAACCCCAGACATCTTTGATCAGAATCTAGCAAAACTCAAAACCACTATCCCTACCAAAGCTTACGACTATATCTGTAAAAATTGGATGGGACATAAAGAAAAATTTGTACTTGCTTGGACCAAGAATGTTCCACATTTCGGTCATACATAAACTCATCAGAGTCTGTCATACAGTCACATCTTGAATCAAGAGAGGACATGCCAACGTCAAAGGCTGGATACCTAACACAAATGGCGACTTGGAAACAGTCTACAGAAAGCTATTACTAGCTTGTCAACAACAACGCAACCGCATCTTTCACAAAATTGATGTTAATCGCACTCATATATTGACACAACTGAGACCAAAGTTTTGGGATTGTGTCAATCAACATATTTCTCAGTACGCATTACTAGAGGTAATCAACTGTCAAATCTCACCCCAATCAGTTTGTTTAGTCGCCATCCACTGATCACTCATTTATCCATCTGATCCGACACAGGTCTTCAAACAATATCAAAAATCACACTCGTTGGACAACTCATCATCCTGCTCATATGTATTTTCCACCTCAATGGGACTCCCTTGTGCTCATTTTATAAAGCAGCTTGTCAACTCGGGTGGTCAGCTTTCTCCGGAGCACTTTCATGTACACTGGCATCTGGAACAAACTGTACCAGATCGTCTCAAGCACCAATCAGCCGGGCTGGATGATATTCTACAGAACATCAAGGACCGACATCAAATCTTACCTCCTCATCAACAGCAACTTGTTGAGGAAAGTCTGGTTCAAGTCCTTGAAACTCCATCCCCCGCTGTCATTGAGCCAGCACCAATCAAGACACGTGGCAGACCTCAAGGAGCTTTGAACAAAAACAAAGGCATCGACTCAAATTTTGAGCGATACAACAAACAAACAAACAGTAATAGATGCGGAGTTTGTCACCAGACTGGTACCGGTCACAATCGAACCACATGCCCACTTTGCCCTTCAACGTCAACAAGCCAGACTTCATGAAAATGACATCCTACATAGATGATTTAGATCGGTTCAAAAATACAAAACTTGACGCTTTTCATGTTTTTATGCTAACTGAAGGTCTATAACTTGCATTAGATGACTTTTTCAATTACATACATTCATCTCTAAGTAATCGATCTAACTTTGGGATTGTTTCGTGCCAAACCAAAAAAAAACTTCACTTTTCAATTGACCTGACTTATGAAAACACAATCTCTTAACACAATCAGAGCCTTCTAGAGAACTTTCTTAAATCTATTTAAAACACATGTATGTACATAGATCATTGTCTATCTCAGTTGAGCATAAAACTTGTCAATGATTTGAACATCATTGTGAAGCATGCAAATGCAAATATCGTCGCTTTTTTCATTGAAAATCGGGCCTACCAAAACCAACGTTCCAACTGATCCCTCGCTCCTGGGGAGTCGATCCCAAGCTTTGAGGCACTTTGTCAAATTTGGCCTAAGGCTTGACCAAAACCACTTAAGCTTTTAAGGGGGTGCGTGGACCAAAATAGGGGGGTGGATATACTGGGATCCTATATAAATAAAGAAAAAATATCACTATCATGAAAACATAGAAATTCAGATAAAGGACGCTGAGACTTTTCTGACAATTCCAGATCTCAAAGTGAAATAAATGAATAGAACTGAGCTCTGGCTATCATTGTTGAAATTGATTTCCACACCATTTGAGATACTCCAACCATTCTCCTTTTTTCTTTGATCTTCATTTTCTAATACAAAATCCCAAGAAGTCAAAATCTTATTCTGATTCTCTTTTCCGTATTTATTGGGGGCTACTAAAAAGTGCCCACAAACAAAACCAGAGACCACCTGCTTTAAGAATCTGGCGCAGCTACTAAAAATATTGGAGTGAACTGTGGTTCAGTCCCAAGGAACTGATTTGTCAAACTTAGCAAAGTCCCTTGTTTTTTGAGCTGTACTGGCCAGCTCAAACAAGGGACTTACACAAGGACCGCCGGATCCCCCCTTGACGTCAAGAGGGGTTGAAAGCCTTGCAATTGTGTCCAAAAAGTGTCTAATCCCATCTGCCTTTGTGTGTCATATCCCCAGCCAATGCTTAGTCATAAATCTCTTGATCAGTGAGCTTGGCCATCTATCAGCTCTCAGCTTGGGCTGAACGCCTTCATTCAACAGAAATTGTGCTCAGAAAACTGTATGAGCCTATCTGGAAGGCTCAACTTTGATATTTCACACGGGAAAATGTCAACATACCTCCATGAACCCATATGTAGTATCACATGCAAGACATTTTGTCTCTGACTCTCAATGCTTCAATCTTCAAGATGCTTCTACTTCTTGTAACTCATCCTCAAACAACCCATCCGCCTGCAGCCCATTTGCCCATCTTACCTTTACCAATTTCATATCTGATCCAAGAGTCTACGATCAGTTTCTGGTCTGATAAGATGAACAAGATGAATCCTGATGAATCATACAAATCAATAACAGGACCAGACCCGAGGAGTGACCGTCATAATATTGCTTTATTTTGGTTTTGAATTCTTTGGTTCTTTTAAGGGTTTTACAAACATTTTCACAACTTGTCAATATAACTTCACTGCCAACAATTGAATCAGGATCAAAATCAAAACACGACCAGAATGAAATATCAATCAAATCAAACCAAGAATTAGGCATACCAATCAACTCATCAAACCCATCAAAAGATCAAACCTCATTTAATCATGATCAATCTAGCGAGAATGCTTTGTTTTTGTAATCCAACATCCTTGGTATTAAAATCCATCTTTTTGTCTTGTTGTATTGCTCTTATACTCCTCACTCAGAAACTGGATTTGGAAGCAAAGAGAAGATTTTCATTGTGCTTATGAATACATACAAAACAGCTTAATGGTACATAATCCATCCTTGAGACAATACAAAACTTTTGAGACTGAGAAAAAGATTGTAGAGGTTGAATGCAAGGTTACTCCACAAAAGGATTGTGCAGAAAAGCTTGAAGATAAATTGAATATGCTTTGGCTTGAATCCAAGCGCTTTGAAAGCTGCTTTCAGGTTTTCAAAGGCAATTTGATCAGCATTAGGACGTTCGGCGAGCCAATTACAACCTGAGAGGTGAGTATCTCATAGTAAGAGGGTTGAGACATGAGATGAGTGAGACTAGGCTCATCATTGGGACTAAATACAGGAATAAACTGATAGAAGACATCAAAAGCTTGTTCTTGAGATGATTGAAGAGGATTCCAAAGTCGAGTTTGATCAAAACCAAAGACTAACACTTTTGCACCAGCCAATTTACCAAGATCATCAAAATTGATCTCAAACATGGTTGAGCTACGTGATGCAGTTGGATTTTGATATGTCTTTGCCCGAGTAAACAAACTGTCATCTGATTGAGATTTTTGTTTGGATGCATCAACTGAGTTGGAAATTGTTGATATCTTATTGGGATTAATCAATGATCAAAACATTGGAGTCAAGGTCAACCGGTTAAGATGTGAGTTTGAACTCGACTTCTTGAATTGGGTTTTAGAAACACACTCATTCTTTTTGTTTCATCCTCAGAAGTTTCAGTGTTTTGGTTAGAGATATAGATGATACTAGCATGTCCAACATTGTCGATAAGTAATTAGCAAGCCACACTACAAGCAATGACGAACTTCTTCAAGGTCTGGCAGGCCTATGGATCTTTAGATTCATGCTTCTTGACCTTAAAACTTTAACTTTTTGGGAGTTTGGATCTGGTATCAAACTTTCAATCATTACAACCTCTACAAGTGAAATGACAGCTAACTAATATTTCAAATAATCTAGATCAATTTCTCGTGATGAAGGCAAAAGCAGCCGACATTATCAAGTTCAAATTTGATCAAATCTTACCAATAATCATCATTCGAGTAACATCAAATTCAGTCTTCTTTTTTTCAAAGGAGGAACACTGCTTGAAAGAATTTTGAGCTCATTGATCTCCTTCTGAAGACTGCAGAGGATGTATTCGTACTCAAATTGAAACTCGATTGATCAAGCAAAACTCAACTCTTGAATCAATTATTATTCTTTGCCATCATTGATATTGATAGCTTGTACGCAAGGATTCAAAGAAAGGTGAAGATTTAGGATCTCACATTAATCTTAAACTAGCCTTGATCAGAGTTTGTTTCTTTGATCTATGTTGTTTAAACTATTGCTTGAAATCTGTTGAAAACTCCATAGCTGACAATGCTTTTGATCCTATCAAGCTTTTTTCAAATGGGTCACTAGATTGGTCGATTGATAGTGGAAACAGATGAGTTTTAACAAGATATAAAAAAAGTATATAGGAGAATTGACCTATGAGCTCGAATTTATTATGAGTATATAAAAAACTATAACACATTTGATATTAGATCACTTGATCACGATAACAATAATGAAGTTAGTAATATATCAAATTTCATGAGTTATTGATCAATTCTCAATGTTTCAGACCTAGGATTCAATCAACTTTTAAAATTCTTTTGTAGTTCACGGAAATCACATACTACAGAAGATAGTCACCCTTTATCTTCAACTCCTCATCTTGATCAACTCAAAAAAAGCTTACACCGAGTATCTGCTGTTTCCAATAAATGTGTTTGTCAAATAACCACTGATTATTTCTTTAATTTGGTTCATTTCAGGTACAAAAATGATCATCATCCTGGATTATTCAACCTGCAAACAAGTGGAGGAGATGCTTTGATATTCGCTCACTGTTAGTCTTGACCCATTTATCCGGCTATGAGTTTGAGTTTGAGTTTGAATCTGACTTTCTTTTCTTTCGCAGGAATTTAAGTTCTTCCATACATCTCCATGCTGTACATTCATTGGCAGAATTTCTTCATTGGAATTGCACTTATTTTGCTGCTCATGATATTGAGTTTTCAATATTCATCTTTCTTTGGTGCTGAAAGACAGTATCTTGGAACTGGATACTAGTATCTGATACTCTTCCAAATGTAGATACTCAAGATACTTGGTATCTGCTCAAGATACTATTGGGTATCTGCAGATACCTGAGGATACCCGCGAGTATCTGAAGTATCCACAGGAGATACTATACTGGACCCTGAGGGTTTTAGGTATCCTGGTTTTGGATACCGTATCCAGTATAGTATCTTTTTAGGATACTATACTGATACTTTTTTTTGCAGTATCGCAAAGGAGATACTATACTCGGTATCCCCAATACTGTACTAGTATAGTAACTGTGGCAGCGTTGCTTGGGATCCTAATGAAGAAATCTGACGTTCTCGGAGCCCTTGGGTAAGTATGCCAATTTTTCCTATCTCTTTGCTGGTATCGTATTGCAACTTATTGCAAGATTACCACCAGTAATCAATGATTAGGTGAAGAGAGTCTAGATGAAATCTACACAAAGTATTTCAATGCTAAAACATGAATCTAAAAGTCTGAAGCTGAGATATGTTTGCTCCACTTGAACAAAAGGTCAACAAATCTTATGTAATTTTTACAAAGATTCAGTTCTACCTATGAAAATTGCAGGCGAGTTTGATAAAAAAGGATTGATTTCAAAGATTACAACTTATGTGACGGGCAACTCATGTATGTCTGATTCTTTGGGTTTGGCTCTTTTGGCCCAATTGGGAAAAACTTGTTGAACAGAGCATTGTTATTGAAGGCTTGATAATTTTGTTAAAAGCTATCATCAAAGTAAATGCTCAGCTCAAGATTGAGAAAAAAGTTCATCAGATTCATATGATCTTTGATTTGCTCAAAAGGAATGCTTTTAAAGAGAGTCATGAACTCCTTCCCCCACTTTCTCCAATCATACTCTATTCACTACATAGGCTGCTATCACATGATTTCTGATCGTTTCTATTCTTGATAGATATGACTGTCATTCATACTTGATGTCCAAGAGATACATATTTCCTTGGTTTAACACACATCAATGCTCATATACAGTCAAACCTGCGCAAATTTATACCCATGCAGCTGTGTAACTTGTGATAATGCATACACAAAAATTGAATCTTGATTATTTTTACTGCCAAGTTTGACAACAGAATTGTGTAACCCATCAAAATGCATAGGAAATTGTGTCCAGCAAAATTATGTGATTGTGTGGGTTTGTTTACTGACACTTCAGCAGTGGGCAACACACTTGGCGATCTCAACCTGACACAATTTGTTTGCAACCGCAATACCTGAAGCATCTTTCCACAAAAAGCAAAAGCAGCGTGGCAGCGGATTGATGGACAGCTGTCTCAGCATTGAGGGACTTAGTTAAGTTAGGGGTTTGCCAAGTTGAAATTTTGATGTGTTTGGGTTATATGTGACATGGCGGCGTCAGCCGCTAAAGCGGCGCCCGCCGCTAATTTGCTAGTTGCACTTTAAAGTAAAAGGGAACAAAGACCCCGGTCTTCAACATTTTAAGTCTTCCTCGCCCCTCCGAGCCCGCTTACACTCCACCAATCACACAAATCTGTGCGACCGACGGCGGGATGTCACATAGGGACTCTGGCGCATCGTCTCTTCCGTCAGATACCGATCCAGGATTTTATGAGATGTTGACAAAAGAAAAAGTGCATGAACAAATGAACTTAGACCGACCACGGGTTGGTTTACCTCAGCTACCAGTGTACAAACATAGTATCTTTCATAGAGTTATTAAAGATTTTATGGTCCAAGGTATGGATGATTCTTTAACTTCAATAGTATCAAACTGTCATCAAGTTCTGATCTTGTCTTCATCTTGGGGGCGGGGAAATAGGTGGTGATTTTTTGAATTCAGATGGGACGGGTTCTACTTCGATTTATGGTCAAAAATTTGAAGATGAAAATTTCAAATTGAAACATGAAACTGCTGGACTCTTTTCAATGGTTAGCAAAAAAGACAAACCAATGAAATTCACATCGAGTTATGAAAAAAACTGATCTTGATCTTTACTTATTGATTTCCATTAGGCAAACTCTGGACCTAATACCAATGGTTGTCAAGTAAGCAAACACGTGTTTCAAACTTCAATTTGCTCTGATCAAATTTAAGCCGTTATTGACTCAAAATTCTCTCATGTAGTTTTTCATTACTTCTGCAGCTTGTGATTTTTTAGATCATAAACATGTTGTTTTTGGGAAAGTATTGGATTCAGATGGACTTTTAGTAATGAGAAAGATCCAAAATGTACCTACTGGTCCGAATAATCGACCTAAATTGACAGTCAAAGTTACTGGTTTGTTTATCTTTTTACTCTTTTGCTTTTTAATTCACAGAATTGAATCTTATGACATTTTTTGATTGACTTATTTGCAGAGTGCGGTGAAATGTGACTGGTTAATAAAGAATTCATTACACTTTCACACTTAGATGACCCACAAGGATTCAACAAGAATTGCCTCACTTGGCCAGTTGGGTTATACATTAAATCACTCATATAAGATTGTATTACAGCAACAGTGATGAGTCCATAAATTCAAATCTTGTATTATTTTGTTAGCATTATCAAATTGTTGCAAGCTCCTCTTTGCACACCATATCATAGCTAGTCAAGATACCCTAAGTCTTTCGTGCAACACTATATCATAGTACATACAACCAATTGTAAGCTGCAATTTCAGCTTTTGAAAAGAGATAGAAATGATTAACTCACCATAGAGTTATCTAGATTAGAAAAGCAATCAAGTAGTTGTTTGCATTTCATGATTCACGGTTATTTGCGGCTCTGATTCAGGAGCTAGTACAGGAAGTGTGTCCAGTTGCGATGGAGTGATCGTGGGTTGATCTCCAGTGATGATCTCCGGGATCTCTGTAGAAGGTGGCTTCAAAGAATCTGATGCGCTGGCGACTTGATTGTTAGCATTTGGTGATGTTCGTTGTGGCGTGTCTAAAAGAATCACCTCTGGTTTCGGAGGATGACTTAAGCTTGAAAGAATCAACTCTGATAGTTCAAGTAAAGATGTAAACTCATCAGAAGGTTTTTCGATTTTCAAGTCACCATATATTTCTACTCTTAATGAATGTTCTAGCATTGGTAAAACATGTTTTGTCCATAAATCAATCGATCTACGATTTCTCGAAGTTGATCAGATGAAGCTGATCCTCGATGATCTTCTTTCATTATACTTTTAAGGTGTTCAGAGTTACTTGTAAATCTTGAATGAAGAGGACTAGGTGGTGGAAGACTTAAGGTAAGCTTTCTTAATTCTTCATTGATGGTTGTAAGGACTTGAAGTTGATAAGATGAGAGTTTGGAATACGATTCTATGATTGGTAAGAGTCTTAATTCGTTAAGAGCAATGAGTTGACTGTTCAGAAATCTTGCCAAGGGTGGAAAGAGTGTGAGAAGATGTGATGGTAGTCGGCTCGGTGAAGTTGATGGTGGGTTTGTAGTCGAATCTATTGTTAATACTTGTCGTAGGGTATCTGGAGCAATTAAACGATGTTCAAGAGGTTGTGTAGAGGGTGGATGTAACAATTTTCGACGAGGTTGAAATGCGGCTTGCTTGAAGGAAGACGAAGTTGGGGTTTGAATTAGGATTGGCTTTAAATCCAATTGAAATTGTTCAAGACCTGATTCCATTCTTAGTTTAATGATCTCTTCTAATGTGTTAATAAAAGTAGGTCTTATCGCACTAGTGAAATCCATACCCCGTTTTGCAAATGCAGCTGCACAGTATGAAAGTTGAGTTAATAAAGAGGATAGAGTAGAGATTGTCACAAGTAGTTTAACATGATGAGTCAGAGTAGAAATTAAGAGATGTGTGGCCTGAGTAGCAAAAAAGTTTAATGGTGAAACTGAATCTTTGAAAAAAGCAGGCGAAGATCCTCCAGTAGAATTCGAGAGATGCTGATCAGGATTGATTTTGAGAGTTGAGGTGTCCGAGTTTGTTGATTTCAAAAAGATTTCATAATATATCGAAATCGTATCACCCACCAAATCACGCCAAATCTCGAGCCATTTACGTAAAAACTTTAAACAATCTTCATTGTATTGAAGTGAAGCATCTGAGAATTGATCAAGATGAAGTGGATTAGAAGTACAAGATAATGCTGAAGAAGGTGAGAAACCAGTTGAGAGTTGAACTTGTTGAAGTGCATTGGCTAAACAAGACCATCGACTTGCCAAAAAAGTGATCCGTAATTCAGGTTTGGTAAGTGATTTGATCGAAGGAGAATCAATTGATTGGGAGAATAGATTTGACATCCTACGCAGAACGCCAATGGTTCGAACAGCTGAAGGAAACTTTAAGCCTCGATCCTTAAGACTATTGATCAAATTATCTCGTGAAGCTTGTAAAGCACGATCAACTTCTAATCTGATTTGATGTAAAACACCACCAGCTGATGGATGAGAATCTTGAAGGGACATGGGGTCAAAGCTTTTGTAGTGTACTTGTAGAGAAACTCTCCGATCATAGTCTGTGTAATGGCGTGAATGGCATTGGGATCGGATGAAACTGAAGTGGATTGATTGAAGGAATTAGCAATTGGATCTGCAATATTACCAGCCTCACTCGTTCGGTCTGTTCAATCTGAGGTTACAGAATGACCACGAGATCTCTGACTCAGACGATCAGATGAGCCTTGACCTAGAGCGGTATGGTTGGGTGTGTTGGCTCGAGATCTGTGCTTTTTGCTGGCGTATTTCTTAGGTACATGTAAGTTTGCCACCCCGAATTGGCCCATTTCATCAACTTCAGATACATCTGATTCGTTGAATGAATTGTTAGATCACGCGAGGTTGATCCCATTCTCGATCTGACTATTTGAAGCATTAGGTATAGTTCCACCACGTACTAGAGTTGATTGTTTGAACTGAGTAAAGGCCAGGTACGTCGTAAGTAACTTCATCTCGTTCGGAATGCATCCTTTGGAGGAATATTGAATGAATGGGGTCCAAGGGGGGGAACGTTTAGTTGAAGAGAATCAGGCGGCACGCTGATGCGCAGGCCTGAGCTGTCCAGGTTTCCAAATAGCTTAGGCTGCTTAGGGTTGCTTAGGGTTGCTGAGGTTTTGAATGAGTGGAAGAAACAATTTTTTTGAAAAGACCTTTCTCGCACCAAAGTCCGACCATTCTACCCTTCTCAACGTCGAGAAGGGAGGTGGTGGACGCAGTGATATATGTGAATTTGTATCTGTATGTGATTCAGATTCACATATATGTGAATTGTGTGCTTTGTATCTGTATGTGACTCAATTCACATAAATGGGATTGATTTTCAGTGTGACTTTTATTGACTCAGTCTTTATAGGTGGGAATCACTTCCGTGTGATTAGTATTCACATGTATGTGAATGCCATTCACATGGATGGGAATGCCATTCACATCATGGTGAATGCCATTCACATCATGGTGAATGCCATTCACATCATGGTGAATCTGATTCTTAGCCGCAACCGTGAGTGGTTGTTGACCTTGACCAAAGGCCTGTTATGGGCTTAGATGGTCGAATAGGTGCTGCTAGCTGATGTACTGATGCGGAAATTACTTGTATATGTCTTTGAGTCCGATGCATCCGGGGCGGCAGCACGTCGGTAGGGGGAGTTCCGGACAGTGTCCGCTGGGAATTGCACGTTTTCCTACGGATAATATCCAAAGCGTCTAGTAGACACAGGTGTCAAGACTTCAAGTTTGAAGTGTATCAGGTATCCAACACAACGGAAGATGTGAGGTAACAATATTGTGCCTGTACACAGACTTCTATATCTAAGGAATGCTGGCGAGTATGTTATGTTTGCTTATACTCATCTATTTCTCACATTGGAATCCTCTTATAGTCATCAAACAGGAGTTTGTTATCAACCTGTTCAGCACTATTAGATATTGAAGAAAGGCCACCTGAACCTTTCTTCCAACATCTAACCGCTGATTTAAAAGGTTGATTTCTTGAATCTTGGTTCACAAAGGGGTGGCGGTACTTGGATCTCCGTCAACCAACTAAACTAAATGGAAAAACTTTCATTTTTTTCAAACCAATTGGTGCGTGCACGTTGCCGTGCTACCGAGGAACAGACATAGTGTTTATCAATCTCCATCTTCTTCATCATCCATAAAAAAGTAACTTGACTAACCCATCAAAGAAATCATTAATATGATTCTCAAGACTCTCTATCTGATCACTAACCAAACTTTTCTTTTATTCCCATTCATTTAATTTTTCATCACTTCCAGATCGATTATTATGATGATTTTTGTTTTTAATATCTACAACTTTTTTATTTAATTGATTGAATTCCAAACTAACTTGAATTGAAATATTGATGAATGAAATCATTAAACCTACGGAATGCGAGACGTTCCAAAGTGACAATGCAAAATTTCAAAAATCAAAAATCACAATCCCCGGGTGCGAAATTCAAAAATCAAAGACAAAACTACAGAAAATACTCAAATACAGGGATAAAACCCCTGTACTGGGGTAAAAGTCATGGCAGAAACCCCTTTTTGCCCAAATTTCCAGTGGTCAACACTGTTTTCATTGCATTGTCACCTTTCGACAAAAAGTACCAGCAACACCAAAAATCAAAAAATCAAAAAAAAACCAAAAACCAAAAACCAAAAACCAAAAAATACATTTCTCAAACTGTACAATTCAAACACCAATGTTAGATTCTAATGCAGCCAAAAACCACATGTTGGCCAACTAGCTACAAGCTCGGTCTCACAGGTATCAACACCTCCAATCGGAGACATTCTACCATCAGTCTCAAGAGCTTCAAAGTACCTGCTTCCTGTCTCGCTCTCCTCCAAAACCTCTTTCATCATCATCAATCCTCTTCGATTGTCCTCGATCTTCCTCAATCTTTGTCAACCGTCCTCGATCTTCTTATTTCTTTGTCAACTGTCCTCGATCTTCCGTAATCTCTGTCAACCGTCCTTGATCTTCCTCAATATCTGTCAACTGTCCTGGATCTTCTTCTTTCTGCATCGACCGTCCTTGAACTTCTTCTTTCTTCATCAACCGTCCTCAATCTTCTTATTTCTTTGTCAACTGTCCTTGATCTTCCTCACTCTTTGTCAACCGTCCTTGATCTCTCCATCACCAACTACACACCAACATGCCAGCAAAAATATCTGATGAATGAGTCTGTTTCAATTTTTTTTTCATTAACAAAAGGAAAAAAAACAGTTGGGATGATGAGTATCTCAACCAAAAAAATTTCAAACACATCTTACTCAAACCGATCCATAATATAATTTTTTTTTCATTAACAAAAGAATACATAAATTGAGTATATTACCAAAATATACTACCGAACAATGCTTTCAATCATATTTTGATGCAACTCTTCCAGTAGATATTTATTTCTTTAACAATAGGCAGACAATTGTTTCAATATGTAGTTTTTTTTTGTTAACAAAAGCCAAAAATATTGGACAAACCTTTCAAACATGTTGTAATTGAAATGTTGCAATATATATTTTATATATGTATATCAATACATATATAAAAATGGATGAGTAATTAAACCAAATATTCCTTTCAAACAAATTCACCACCAACATATTTACCTCGGATTACAAAATCCAAGGTATCCTCGGATGCAAAACCTCAGACAGAAGCTTCCCGAGGTTTTGATCCGAGGTAATTCTCAGGGCAAAGAAATACCTTGGGCAAAAACCTCGGACAAGGTCTGTCCGAGGATTTGCCTCCGATGATGCCTCGGATTTCTCAACCCAACGCATCTATGCTGGCAGTGATTGTACCAATGCGTTTCAATGTACATATTCATGATATTTTGATTTTAACGGTAAAAAAAATTCATTTCCCTATAAAACTATAAGTTTCATCTTATTTAATTCCGAAAAGAAAATCCATCTTATTTAATTCCAAAAAGAAAAATTTTTTGAATCAGATATATAAATTTAATTTTTTTTATTTGAATTATAATTTTGAAAAAAAAATTAAGAAAAAAAAATATGCGGATGTTCCAGCCAGAAAGGCCACCTACCTGAGCTGCTAGGTGGTCTGGCTGGAACATCCAGGCCACCTAGCTAGGTGGCCTTACCTTAAAAGTAAGGCCACCTAGGAATTAGGTGGCCGTGCCATCGCACTATCACTCAGTGATAGTGCGATGGCATTGCGGATCGGTCCAGGGCCAAGCTGTAGGTCGGCCCTAGATTCCTCCATCACACGATCACTCATGTGATGGTGCAATGCAGGGGCCACCTAGGAATTAGGTGACCCCTCCATCGCACTATCACTCAGTGATAGTGCGATGGCATTGCGGATCGGTCCAGGGCCGAGGTGCGGCCTTGGCCCTGGATTCCTCCATCGCACGATCACTGAGTGATCGTGCAATGGAGGGGCCACCTAATTCCTAGGTGGCCTTACTTTTAAGGTAAGGCCACCTAGGAATTGGGTGGCCCATTCAATTGATCAGTAAGGCCACCTCGTTTCCAGGTGGCCTTACCTTGGAGAAGGTTGGGCCGGGGCCTAAGACAGTCTAGGCCCCGGTAACTACATGTCAACTATGATTGGTTCTTGAGTAATGAACCTTTCCGTGGTACAATCTCTGTGTGAACCATATGCTGACATGTGAGATATGTAAACATATCAAGTGTAAGGTGTAAGGCTACATTTGTATACATTGTGTAATGGCTGACCACAACTCAGCCACCATTTGAGTGGAAGCATTTAACCAGTCCTTTGTTATTTGATTCTTCTGATCTTATTATTCTTGAAATCTGTTCTGTCCGCTTTCTTCAATTTGTTGAATCAACCAAGGTAATCCATGTTCTTCCTTTGTCTTCCCATTTGTTCCTGACTTCACCAAGATCAATACAGAACATATAAGAAGAAATATTATATCCTCAAGAAGAAATAGAACCTTGAAGAATCCACAAGAAGCCAATAATAATTGAATGTAGATTAATAAATCAATCAATATTTCTCAAACATCTGTTCCATTCATCGCAAAAGAAGACTCATATAATTCAAAACATTTGCCACTCATGATTCACTCACAAACAATTATTGAAGACGGAAGTACTTGAGATACATGCAGAGATGTTTATGTCTCGTGAAGGGCAGGGCAAGTGACTGAGGGGACCCCCAACTACCAGCCTAACCCTTTGCTAAATGTATCTCAGAGCTTCCTGATTTCAATCCTCAAGAAATTACTTTATCAATCATTCCTTCAAACAATTATTCATTAATGCAAATTCACTTATTTCAAAAGATTTACAGCTCAAGGTTATTCACATTGACTCATGGAAGACGGAAGTACTTGAGATACATGCAGAGATGTTTATGTCTCGTGAAGGGCAGGGCAAGTGACCGAGGGGACCCCCAACTACCAGCCTAACCCTTTGCTAAATGTATCTTGGTGCTTCCTGATTTCAATCCTCAAGAAATTACTTTATCA